AATATACAGAGGGGTAATAATGTTCCAGAAAGATGAAAAAGAAAGTGCTTGGGCTGGGAATGGGATAGTCACACACTTACACACACACACACAAATGTGTATCTATGTGTGTGTATGTACACACATAGATATAACTATACACAGTTTCTTTATCCCAGTCAATCTTCAAAAATATCATATGAAGAAGGAATTCCTAACTATAGCTGAAAGAATATATAAACTTATTGATGCCGCTGTGCATTGTGACTTTAGCCCTTGAGCCACCACAGGTTCTTGTCCCACAAAACTATAAAAAAGGAATTTTCAGACATTTTAGATGAGTAATCAGAAACAGACCTTAAGAAAGTAAGGACAAGGTTATTTGAAGGAAGAAAGCAAGAACTTCCCAGTATGCTGTACTTGGGAGGGGCAAGGAAGGCCTGTCTAGGGATAACTAAACTACCCCCCCAACCCCCCACTTAAATCTCATCGTCCTGTTTTGTGATTGGCTCTTCCTCCTAGTGGCTATACTCCTCTGGGCAGAGGTGCCCATTTTCCCAGCTCCTATCTTAGTAGTTTACCTCCCTGTCCAAGGTCTCCTAAAATTTACTTTTACTGCTGGCACTGGCCCTACTGAATTTCTCTGCCCTCATCCCAGGGGCCGCCCTTCAGTCTCCCTTGTCCCTGCTTGCACCTTGCCTGAAGCTGCATACTTAACCCTAACTTGCCCTGGGACTCAGTAGGAGTCAGTGCTCAGCCTCCAATGGCTAATGAGTGGAAGAGGCAGTATTGAAACTGACTCTGTATTTCTCCACCACAAGCGCCTTCTCTTGAGTATGTCCCCAAAGAAAAGGTAGGAGCATTTTCCCTAGGATGTTGGGTGGGGAGGGAGACGCCAGAAGATGCTGATCTGTTGAAGAAGCTGGGCACACCATGGGAAACCTCGGGTGCCAGGAAGTAGAGGTGAATGCTCATTATAGTTCCTATCAACGAACACGGGCAGTCATTGTAATGGCTAGAGTCAGGGTGAGCTCTTTCATGACCAGGCTGCTCTTGCAGGTGAAATGATGTAGAGAATGAACACTCTGGACAGTTAAAAACCTAAACTTTGAAATCAGACAGAATTTCATTATCAGGGTGATAATGCTTCTTACTAGTCCTTTTTAAACTAGCTTTTTTTGGATTCAGTTTCTCATTAGAAATAGCAATACTGAGGCTGAACTGATAGAAATGTTGCAGGAATTAAATGATAAAATTCTGTGATTTCTCATTTTCTAGAACATGAGCACTGATCCAGATTAGTATCTGTTAATTTTCTCTCTGGGTTGAAATCATGGATATTAGAATAAATATTAATCTACTTAAATATTACTCCTTTTGCTTTTCGTTGAAACAGAATATATAATTTTCTGTTTTTTAAAGATTTACTTTATTTATTTATGCATACAAGAACTGCGGTGGAGGCCAGAGGCAAGAATGGGAAGGTGCAAACTCTAAGATAGTGGATGATGTTCTGAACGGATTCCACCCTCATGTTCATACTGAAGATAGCGAGCATCGTGCTGTAGATCTGTTGCCCCCTCCTCCCAAAGGTTAGACAGGATTTCGTAGATATCCAGAGTAGCCATTTCAATACCTGTCACCTTGGTATATGGAATGAAGATCCATCAAGATCCTGTGAGAAACAGTTTCATGAGAAACTACTACCATTACTTGAAGATTTAAGTTTTCCTAGGTATAGGACTCTACAGAAATATTTTTTTAAATAGGAGAAATATCTTAAGGAAGGGCAAACAATCAAAGGCAATGTTCTGTCATATGAAGTCATTTCCTTATGATGTGAAACTCTCTCCTCTCTCCCTGGTGACTCAAGTCCCTTATAATAGGATATAAGACCTTGCTGTCTACCATTTACTTTAGAATTTACTGCTGTATAATTCTCTCTACACATCCTATTCAATTTGTTGTTTTTCTCATACTAATTTGTCTGATGTTCATTTATGCATCTAGTCTCAGAACAACTCACGCTGGTGAGGGAACTTTCCCTTGTACCCAGATAGCTGTTGAAGGAGAGATATTAATAGATGTATTTTTTATGTACTTTATGTGACTGAACTGGAGGGAATGGGTAGCTGAGAGAGTGTGACAAGTATTCCTCCTCTCGCTGTGAGTCCCTGACCTGACCACATGTCCTTGGTTAATATCAGGGGACTCTCGTGTGAGATATTAGATTTAGCTGAGAGTTTTAGCTCCTGTCAAGTGATTTCTGGAAACCTGGGTGAGGAGGAAACCTGAATTCACAATTCACACAATTTTTCAACATGAGTTTTAAAACATGGCTCAGTGCCAGCCACTGCAGCATGGGTTTGTTCGTCAGCAAGGGAGCTAACCCACATGGGCCCAGCAGACCTCTCCGGTCTCGCCCGCTCTTCCCCTCAGCAGTGTATTTCAGTTGATCCCCCTGTCCTGCTCCCCAGGCTGTCTCTGGTGAATCCTCTCACCCATACCTCTGGCATACACCCTAGTTCTCATATGCATAATGTATGATGTGCAAATATTTTCTCCATTCAAGTAGATGTCTTTTTGTTTTAATGATAGATTCTTTCACTTTGCAGAAGACTTTTTTCTTTCATGTAGTCCCATTTATTTATATTCTGTTTTGTGTCTATATCATTGGAGACAAATACACAATGACATCTCTAAGCAAATGGCATGGAGGGTTTTGTTTGTTTTCCTCTATGTATTTTGTGGTTTCAAAGATTGCCATCCTGTCTTTAATTCATTTTGAGTTATCGTTTGTGTGAGGTGTGACATAGCTCTCTAGTTTCCTTCTTTCGCATGTGGCAGTTTAGTTTTCCCCAAATAATTTGTTGAAGAGACTTTCCTCTCTCTGCTGTTTATTCTTGACTCCTCTGTTCTGGATAAATTGTCCATACAAGTGTTGGTTCATTTGTGGATTCTCGTCCTATTCCATTGTTGCTTGAACAACTTACTTGCAGGGCAGGAAGGATGAAAAACATCTCACTGGCCAATAGATTGCTTTAACTCTTCACTTTTAGGAAGGTTAAACCATAACTTTAGTAGACAGTAATGCAGAACAATTTTGTCAGATAGCCTGCTTTGCATGCAGTGAAGCCAACTGTTTCTAGCTGGCTGAACTGGGATAGATGCGTTTACAGAACTGCTTGTGCTTGAGCCATTGCAAGCAGCTTCAGATAGGCAGTGCACTTGGCCCGCGTCTCCTTTTCCTGCCTGACAGAGGTGCTCAGTACCATGTGCTTCTCTATCCAGTGTATCATGTGCACCTTTTCCTTCCAACACATCGTGTTCTGCACAGAGATATAATAGTCCAGGTGATTCTTTACATTCTTATATGCTCCTTGTAGTTGTTCCTGATAAACACCTTCCAAGGCAATAGTGGTGTTATTCCTCTGGACATCAAAAGGTAATGATGCAAATAAGGGACCAGGAAAATGAATAACAATAAGAAAGTGAAAATCAAAATCAACAAAAAACTATGAACCAGAGACACTTTTTGGGGGATGAGGGGCGGGAGGGGAGGGATTGGGGTCAGAATGGGGGGGTTGCAATTTTATGGGGAATATAAAAATAAAATTTATTATTTAAAAAAAAAGTGAAGCACAAAAATCAACTTCCAAAAAACAAAAGTAATGATGCTATTAACCAGCACCTGCTATGAATTCTCTAGCTCAATTACATGGTGGATATGCTCAAAGAAACTGTTTCATATCTTCTGCTTAGGCATGTTTTCTGCTCAATGAATTTATGAGTAAATTCTCTAAAAGAGGCACACTTTTATTTTTGACTAGATAGACAAACAACCTCTTGTTGATACAGCAGAGAAAGTTTCTGAGGTAATCACATATGTTTGCTTAGATAGAAAATACAGTATCAGTCTTGCTCCAAGAAAAGGGAAGCCTGTTATACTGACTGGCTTTAGAATAAAGGAACTGGAAGAATAAGGACTAGCATTTTAAAGCTTCCATTCTTTGGAATATGTATGTTTGGATTATGACATATCACACAGGTGGGGATAAACCTACCTGCTCTCAATATTTCTGCCATCTGCCACATCAAGACAAAACATAAGACCGTCAATGGAAAAGAACTTCAATACAATCAGTGTGCAATACAGAAAAGACAAAGAATATAGTTTCCAAATCAAGCACCCAAGTTACCCATCCCCTCAAGGGAAGAACTCCAGCCAAACAGGATTGGCCAAAGCAAGGCCCAAAAGCTTGCCACAAGTCCACAACACCTTTAGGCGGGGACCCATAGACAAGGGTCAGAAACTGACCAGACAAGTCTGGGAGGAAAAGAGAAAAATCATAATCGTGATAAAAGCTGGTATTGTCACCTTCCCTTGGGTCTCTCACCCACATCCTTTTTTGCCAGTCCAGGATGAAAAAGCAAGTGCAGCTTCTTTGCATGTCTCCAGGCTCCATGAGCCTTCTCCAGGCCTCCTTCTCCCTCTACATCCTGCTTCCTTCCTATGACAGTCTCCTGCTGCAGGGGCAGGATGCACCACTGAGCAGGTTTCCTATGAGCCCAGCAGACTGTAAAGGAGGAGTCCAAGAGCCCTCTGTGGATTTCTCAAGCTTTTATTGAGCTTTACATGTAGTGTGGCAAACAGGTAAACGCAGGCAGGGGTGTCAGGGGGCCAGGAGACCAGGAGGCGTCCAAGACCCTGGCAAGTCCTCATTCTGGGCTTCTCTCTCTCTTCTGGCTTTCTTTCTCCCCTTCTCTCTCCCGCCCCTGCTTCGCTTGGTGACTGTCTCAATACTCCTCCCATGGCCCACAGAGGTAAACAGGACAGCTTACAACAATGAAACAACTGCAGGTGCCCATCAGGGAGGGCAATCCTAATGGTGGGAGGGCAGAAAAGCCTGAAAACCATTTACAATCCACCTCCTCAGCTGCTTCTCCTCCCTGCTAAGTCCACCCTCCCTGGATGGGGCAGGGAATCTAGTTGGTACCTCCCCTTTTCCTGGGGACTGCCCTGTTAGAGTTTCAGTTTCATTTCACTCCACTCTTCCTCTCTGTGGCAGTCAGGCCCACTGCATCCTGACAGTATCTGTGTCTGGCCTGTCTTCACTCTTCCCCAAGGAGTCACAACATTTCCTTGTTCTCTGAAGGTCTGTTGAGAGTTTCCGGAACAAAGAGTTTGAAAACTTCAGAGGAAAAACTGATTTGGTGAGTCTGACTTTTCATGGGAAGGCCAAGGTGCCTCTGAAAAGGGGAAGAGGCCCAGCTTGCAGGCTGCCTGCTGATTGCGTTAAGGGAAGGGCAATGTGGGGGAGCAGTGGCCTGAAAAGATGGCGGGTTTGAAGGAGGAAGGATTTGTTTACTTCAGAGGGACTGGCATTTCTCCCACAACTCCTTCCTATTCTAAAAGTATGAATTGCACGTTTTGAGGACAGAGAGAATCCTTGACTTTTTAGAAGTAGAAAGCGCCTTTTCCACCAAATACAGGAACGCAGGCAGAGGGGTTTGAATCCTAGGGGTTAATGTTACAGTGTACGAGTGTCATATTTCTTCATGATTCTATACATTTTCCTCCATGTCGTGGCCTGTCTGCGCTGGGGAACCTTGATGTGCGACGGTTGGCAAGTTCTGCACCTCATTTCTAGTCACTCTTTCACGCGCGGGTTAATCACTGTAGTTCCTTAGAGATCACTAACCTTGTTCGTCCTTCTCACTTATATATGATGTCATCATAATGAAGAGATGTGGGGTTCAGAGAGTGGTTCTTGGGTAACATCTGAGACAAGTTTTAGTTATCTCCCCTTTCAGCAGCTTTCGGGCAGTCTCCCCATGAGTCAAAGACATTTAGTTATATCCAAAAGGGCAGGTTTATTATAAGGACATTGGTGAGGTCAGTTTTGGAGATCTTGGGTTCGAGAACGAGTCCTTGGGTTGACGCTGGGCAAAGCTTCACCAGAGCTCCCCTTTCACGGCACTGACGAGTTTCCCAGGCAAGTTCCTCCCCAAGAAAGAGATATCAGTTATCTCCAAAAGGGCAGGTTTATTATAAAAGGGAGATAAGAATAAAGGACATTTGCTTATGATGGAGGACAAGTATTAAAAAAACCAAAAACCTTAAAAGGAGGTGCCACAAGACCAGAAACCTGCTTACACGAGGAGGTGGGGGTAGAAAGGGTTAACATAACCATCAACACAGCTATAAAAACCAAGATCCTTAAGTACCAATGCCTAGATCACAAAGTGTAAGACCCAAGCAGGTATCAGGCAGCCATAGAGAGTGTCTAGAGTAAAGGTCAAAGGGTAAAGATATGGAGATTGAGCCCATTGTGGAATCTCCTGCCCCTTTCAGATTCTGCAGAGTTATCCAAAATGAGCAACTAAGGGAAATATCCAAAGAGTGAGCCCCTCCCAAACAGAAGACTGTATCAGTGCAGTCTCTACAGTGGCTCAGGCCTACACTCCCACTGCCCACCTGTGATTATAGAGAAGCTTCTTTTCACCCACTCTCTCCTGCAGGGCACCAGCCGCCTGCCTGCCTGTGACCTGTCCCATGCTGGGGCTTCTCTTCACTGACCTCCCTCAGTGGAGGCCGCTCCCCTCAAGGCCTCCTGCCTGCAGCCTTGCAGGCCTCTCTCAGCAAACCTGTCCCTTTCGGGCAGCTCTTCCTGCCCACTTATGTCTATACAAATGTCCTTTACTCTTCTGTCCCTTTCCTTAATAAACCTGCCCTTTAAATACAACCAATGTGAAAGGGTCGGCGCAGTAAACAAAAGAAGTACCAGGCTAAGTTTCTCGAATATGGGGAAAATTTATTGGGACCCCGGGAGAAATTCACGGACCCAAGGTGGGGGTCGGTGATGTCAAGCATGTTGCCTGGGGAGGAAAGCTTTTATAGGGTGAGGAGAGGTCAGGCGGGAAATTGGGGTTGCAGGGTGGGGGAAAAAGTTTGTAGGGCACGAAAAGATTTGTAGTGAGGCAAGAGGCTAATTGTCTGAATTTTCTAGGTGGGCTTCCTGGTGGGCTTTTGCATTCCGGCCTCCTGCATGGACCTTTCATACCAGCCTTTTGTGGATAGGAAAAGGGGCAAAGGCTCTTTCTTTGGCTACTTTCAGCTGGAGTTGGGCGAAGACCAAGGGGGTGGGTCAGGCCTGGTTATGAGGGTCTTCTGCAGGGATGCGAGAATACGGTGGAGAAGGAGTTGATTAAAGGTGGTAGGAGACATTTCCCGAATGCGAGCCGGTATGAATTTTATGAGGCGAGGAGGAAAAAGAAAAAATAAGGATCTCATTTGTACTGGCCCCAAGAGTGCAAGGAACCATGACACTATAGGATTTTGAAACCATGTCAGCAGAGCCTGCTGGTTTTGGAGAGTGATCTGAGGCAGTGAGGTGAGCTGTCTTCATAAGGATGCTAAAGACACAGAGGTTTTTTCCTAAGGAGCTATATATTCGTTCATAAAAATCCTGGGCAGAAATAAGGCTGTGTCTCAGGGCCCCACCTGCCACGCCTGCGGCCTCAAGAGATGATGTCAGGCTAATGCTCACCATAATCCGGAGGAGAGCCCTTCATTTAGTTTGGTGTGGTGAGAGCAACCATCCCAGTTTGGATTGTCCCTATAGGGTGAGTTGTGGGACTTGGACACAAGGGCCTGGGGTAGAAGAATTGATACACTGAGAGAGAGCGCCATTGTCCCAGAAAAAGGATCCCCTTGTGGTTTGGAGCGCAGGAGTAACCGAAATGTTAGAAGTGCAGGAGTGAAGCCGACAAGGGCGTCAGTTGGATAGCAGGGGTAGCTGTGATTGGAGTCCCAGAGGGGGACTGAGCATTGGGGAGTCAGACAAGCAGAGTCTGTTATCTTGGTCATTGTGGTATTGAGATTCACTGGAATTGCCGCCGGCAGAGGCCTCTGAAGGGACGTGCAGAGGAAACAAGAGGAGTTATTAGTCCCAAAAGAGTCATTTCCATACACAGGACACTGAGCTAGGGGAGATTTTGACAAGAAATACGCATCCCAGTAGGACCCAGGTTAGGACATACCTACTGTTTGTCTTCAGGGAAACGTTTGATCCATGATAGATGGTGCCAGGAGGGGTCCCCCAGAAGTGTTACCACTGTGGGCGTGGTGAGACTGACCGTGTGTGGACCGGTCCACTGAAGCTGCGGTGGCTTTGGTTGAAGAGATTTGAGCAGGACTTGGTCTCCCGGAGGCAGTGGTGGGGAAGGTTGGTTGAGGAGGTCGAGATCCGAGGCAGGACTGGGGAAGGACCGGTCTGCATGTTCCTGGAGCAGTTGCCTGAGTAGGGAGAGGTCACTCCTATCCGGGGAGGTGTCCACGCAGTGGGTGAGCTGCAAAGAGGAAGGTGGGCGAACTTGCCCTTGAGGTGATATGCGAGCACAGGTTTGACGACCGGAACATATTTGTCAGAATTTTGCACCCAAGGAGGGGTAAAGAAGAGCAGAGTCACGAATTGGGTAAGTGGGCATGGCCCGACGTGGAGGGAATCGTGGACTTGTGGAATGACCAACTCCGCCTGTTCAAAAGAGCATAGGGGCAGGGTCTGCAGCCAGAGTCAGTTGGGAGAGCCCTTGCCACTGCATCAGCCTTGTTACTCCCTGTGGTAACGTAAGATGCCTCCTTCCCAATTTTCTACTCTTATCCTCTATCAGTATTGCTCATCCAGAAAGAAAGCTCAGCTGAGAGGAATTTCTTTGCAACTTTTATCTTACAGAATGATTTACTTGAGGATGTTAATGTATACATATGTCAGAAAAGGTAGTATAACAAGATGCCAAGGCCCTGAGGAAGGACAATTAGATTAGGGGAGCCCCTGTACTTCCTCCTGTGCAAGCTGCAGCTATTAGCGGGCAGATGAAGGGTACCCATTGATGTTGAAAAGTGGCCTGTTTCCCTCAGCTAATAAAAGGAAACAGAGGAAATGGAAAGTAGTTTAATTTGTGGACAAAGTGAGGAGGGCAGCAGACTGTCTGAAAGACCACTTTTCTGCCCTTTGGCAGAGGGCGGGGTATTTATACAAATTAGTAAAACTAAGGGGAGTTGGACCAGGGTCTGCAAAGGGGAGGCAGGAAGGGTCAGCATGTCCTTTTGATGTAGGCCTACCTGTGGGTGCCAGCTTGCTTTGCTGACACCTGCTGTTTCACTTATTATCTTCTTGGAATGTCCTTCCCTTTGCTGAGACTGAAAGAAGACAAACTTGTTAAATGCAAAGGATAAGAATACTTACCTGAAGTGGCAGGAAAAAAGACTTGTACTTTTCACTGCATCACCCCCACCCTCCCCCACCCCTACTTTGTGGGACCTGCTTCAGAACAGTTTTTCTGTGGTTCCCTGCCTGAAGGTGCTTTAGATGGGTGGCACGGTTTTGGGCCTCAGTGGCCCCACTTTAAGTCAACCTTCTTTGGACAATTACCCATTAGTGGATGGACAATTTTGTTTAGAAATATCCTTTCTTTTCTCACCCTCTGCACACTAATTCTATTAAAGTGATATTCCACTGAAGGTTTGCTTTGCCTTTTGTACATGATGTGGTTTTTGCAGTTGTTGGGTTTGGAGGGCGGGGCTCTTGGGTTCACTCTGGGGAAGGTGTCACCAGAGCTCCCCTTTCAGAGGCTCGGGGCGAGTTTCCCAGGCCAGTTTCTCATGAGACATGATGTTAGTTATATTTAAAGAGCAGGTTTATTATAAAAGGGAGAGAAGAATAATGGACACTTACATAGATTGACACATGCAGGAAGAAGGTGCTGTCCCAAAAGGGACAAGTTTGCTAAGACAGAGACCTGCATGGTTGCAGACAGGCAGCCTTGAGGTGAGCTGCCTCTGCTGAGGGAGGTCAGTGAGGGGAAGTCCTGGCAAGTACTGGTCACGGGCAGGCAGGAATTGCTGCCCTGTGGAGGGACAGAGAGTTGGTGAAAAGGAGCACCTGCAGAGTCACAGGTGGGCACAAGGAGTGCTGCCCCAGCCAGTGCAGCCACTGCCCTGATAGAGTCTTCTCTCTGGGAGGGTCACTCCTTCTTGGAGTGATTTGTTTGTTGTTGGCTGGGAATAAACTATGTAGAATTTGAAAGGGGACAGATTTCTACAAGGACCCTCAATCTCCATATGTTTACCTTTAGGTCTGCTCTGCTGACACCCCCTACAGCATCTGATACCTGCTTGGGTCTGGTGCTTTGTGATCTAGGCATTGACTCCTAAGGATCTTAGCTCCCATAGCTGGGTTAATGGCTGGGTAAATTCCTTCTACTCCCACCTCCAGCTCTTAGCTTTGTGAGCCAGGTTTCTGATCTTGTGGGTTTCCTTTCCACTTTTTTCTATGCTTAGCCTCCATCATGTGGATGACTAGATCCCTTTAGAAAGTAGAATTCTGGGCCTCCCCTGGTGGTGCAGCGGTTGAGCGCTGGGCTGTGAAGCTGCCAGCGCAGCCTCTGCAGTGCCAGTTTGATCCCCGGCTGCCGGGCGAGGGTCCCACATGGCTTGCAGACCTCTCCTGCCAGACTCACTGCTCCCCTCAGCAGTGTATTTCATCATTCTGCCTGTTCTGTTCCCCGCTTTGGCTCAGGTGAATTCTCTCACCCTCCCGTGCTTCTGACTGTACCCAGTGCTTGTATAAATAAATAAATACATAAATAAATAAATAAATAAATAAATAAATCTTTAAAAAAAAAAAAAAAGAAAGAAGGAAAGTAGAATTCTGAGGGATCCCAAGATACCCCTAGGTTGTGCACTAACAATGCAACAGAAGCTGCAGTAAAGTGTCTTAAATTGTTACCGGTTCTGAAGGGTCTTTGTCTGGTTTCCTGCAATCCATTGTACATAGATCTTGAAAAGACAGTAACTGGTTTCAAGCGAGGAACATTTATTGTGGTCACACTAGAAGAGGTCAGGCAGCAGCCACCATGAACCACACTCCCTAATTGAGAGCATCAAGGATCCTGCTTTATGAGGCTCATCACTGGATTGGGCTAGTGGGGAAGTAGGGTATTGGCTGGTCTTGGGTTTTCTAGCTTGGATTTCAGGGCCTTTAAGCACCCATAGATGCTTTATCTGGTCTCACATTAACACCCTCCTATTGTTACAGGGCAGGGAGAGGGGCAGCCCAGACTCAGCAGACCTGCCTGCTGTAAATAGGTTCTGCCATCCGCAGCATCAGCACAAAACATGAGACTTTAATGGGAAGGAACTTTAGTACAAATAGGAAACAATACAGGAAAGGCAAAGAATCTAGTTTCTAAATCAAGCACCCAAAGTTACCCATCCCCTGGTGAGTAAAAGTCCATCCAAAGCATCTTCCAGTGGGGACCCACAGAAAAGGATCGGAAACAACCAGACAAGTCTGGAAGGAAAAGAGCAAAACCAAAATCAAGACAAAATCCACCATGGTCACCTCCCCACTGGTCTCTTACCCACATCTCTGTCACCCAGTCCACGACCTTAAAGACAAGCTCAGTTTCTTCACGTGTCTCTTGGCTCCATCCTTCTTCCTTCCTTCCTCAGTCTCCTCTGCAGCTTCTTCTCTCCCTGCTCAGATCCACCCTCCCTTGGGTGGGCCAGGACACCTGGAACCTCCCCCTTTCCTGGGGACCACCCTGTTACACTATGTCAAGGGAAAGTGCATCCCAGCTCTTTAGGTTTTCAGCAACAGGAAGGTTACAAATAAGGACCATGTTCCAGGGGCCCTGTAATGACATTATTATGCAAAGTATATTTTACCCATCACCTAGTGAAGGAGGAAGTAAGTTCTGAGAGTAGGCAGTTAGGGTCACCGGCCCAGCCTTGAGCTGGCTTTCTAAACCGTGCCTAAAACAGGGACTTAGATAAGCTGATCCACACGCTGCAGAGAAGAGTTGGGGTGTAGGCCAGAGTCTGGGGGAATGAAAGACTTCACCAGAGACAGACTAGAGAGCAGAAAAGGAGAATTTATTGAAGTACACAGGTGAGAGGAGCAGGGGCCAGATGAGAGGGCCTGAGGCTGTTTCTACTCCAGGCACCACTGATTGGTTGGGTGACTAGTCTTGGGTGTGTCCTGACTCTGCATCTGGATCCTCAGCTTAACAGCCCAGTTCCTGTGGCTGCCCAACCCACAACCTTATTCAGTCAAGCCTCCCAATTTGCCTGCTGAAGGAGGAGTGGGGCCTAGTTTTTAACTTTAATAATAACACCACACCATAAAGCAATATCTTTGTGGGCCCAGGGTAATGCCATCTGCACATTACATAAAAATAGATATTCAGCCAAGGATGGCTGGCTCCCGGACTCCACAGATGGCTGATTCAACTAGATAATACATGTCTTCCTTTTCTGCCTAAATCTGGTTTTCAAGATGATTCTTTCCTCATGGAGTTGAGGATCAAGTTGCTTGGAGTCCAGGAACTGCATGCACTTCCTTGTCTCCTTCCTTTTTTTTTTTTTTTTTAAAGATTTATTTATATATGAATACAAGAATTCTGGGGTACAGGCCAGAGGTGAGGAGTTAGAGGATTCACCAAAGAAAGAGTGGGGAGCAGAACATGAGGATCTCATGAAATACACTGCTGAGGGGGAGCAGTAGATGAGACAGGAGAGGTCTGCACTATGTGGGTAGCTATCTGGACCGGAGATGAAATCTGTTGCAGTGCTGCTGATAGCTTCATAGTGCTGTGCTTAACCCCTTGCATCACAAGGGAGACCCTCCCCTTTTTTTCCTTAAATATTTTATCTTAGCCTATCTTTGTTTTCTATACAATTAGAATTGTTTCCTGGCTTTCTCATTTGTTCCAATACAGCCTTCTCAAATATACAGGGATCTGGGAGCAAGAGACTCAAGCCAGGATAGTGAGCAGCAGGGGCAACAGCTATGGCATCAAACATCTTAGTGAACATCCAGGAGGAGGTGACCTGCCCCATCTGCCTGGACCTCTTGAAAGAGCCCCTATGCCTAGACTGTGGCCACAGCTTCTGCCAAGCCTGCATCACTGCAAACAACAAGGAGTCCACGGCAACCCAGGAAGAGAAGAGCAGCTGCCCTGTGTGCAGAATCAGTTATGAGCCTGGGCACCTGCGGCCTAATCTGCATCTGGCCAACATAGCAGAGCAGCTCAGAGGAGTCAAGATGAGCCCGGAGGGGGAGCAGAAGAAAGAGCTCTGTGAGCGCCATGGAGAGAAACTCCTGCTCTTCTGTAAGCAGGATGGGCAAGTCATTTGCTGGCTTTGTGAGCGGACTCAGGAGCACCGTGGTCACCAGACCTTCCTCATTGAGGAGATTGTCAAGGAGTACCAGGTAGGAGAGCAGGATGCAGTTAAAACAGGAGAATATATAGTTGATGGGAAATCTCCTCTTGGTTGTCTTCTCACCACACCCCACAGCTCAGAGGTCTGTGATTTCTTTTCTTCCTAAGGTGTTGATACAGGGAAAATTCCCCCTTCCTCTAAGTTCTAGGGCTGGATGAGCAACGAGATTAACATCACACAGATTACAAGGAGAAAAAGACCACCTTCAATAATGTACACATGGAGAATTTACATGACTCTAAATACTTAAATAAAATGGGATAGATACAGTGTTTATTTAGTTTTAAATATTTATTTTTGCATACAAGCGCTTGGATACAGGCCAGAGATGTGGGGGTTGAGAGGATTCACCAGAGACAGAATGGGGAACAGAACAGGTGGACTGACTGAAATACGCTGCTGAGCAGAGCAGCGGGTGAGACAGGAGAGGTCTGCTGCGCCGTGTGGGTAGCTTCCTGGCAGGGGATTGAACTCATGCCACTGTAGCTGGGGATGACTTGATAGCACTGAGACTTTAGCCCCTGTGCCATGAGGGAGGCCCAGATCCAGTATTCATAAGGATGGGTTAAGGATGTTAAGGATGGGTTAGGAGCCTGGGGTGTCAAGGAGGGAGGAGGAGGTCTCTGGGACCAGGAGGGGACACTTTCATATGGTACAACCTTGCCTTTATATATTTGCCTCACCTTAAGATCGATTTTTACCGTGGAATGTTTTGTTCTGGAGGCCTCCCTGGTGGCGTAGGAGTTAAAGTCTCAGCCCTATCATCACAATGGTCTGAGTTCGATCATGGGCGGAGGAGCTGACCCACAGATAGCACAGCTGATTCTGTCTTGCCCACTGCTCCCTCAGCAGTGTATTTCAGCCGATTCTCCTGTTCTGCATCCCACTCTGTTTCTGGTGAATGCTCTCACCCCCTTCACCTCTGGCGTACACCCCAGTTCTACTGTGCATAAATAAATAAATAAAATCTTTAAAAATAGTTTTATTTCTAGAGATGTTGCTAAATCTAGCTCATCTCTTTAACCTAACACTTCCTTATGACACTCACAAAAATTTTGATTTACATTAGTTCTACCTAATAAGAGGACACAAATTAAAATTTTCCAGCTTGGAAAAAGCTGGGGGAAGAGAAACTTGGCTCACCTTTCAAGGTGAGGACATTTGTGTGCCTCCAGCCTGATTGCAAGAGACCCATTTATAGTGAGAAGTAGATGTTTTTGAACCATGTGTTAAATGGGGAGGAGGGGCTAGTGCCCATGAAAACCCATCATTCTCTTTGCACATGAAGTGTAACTGAGGGACTGGGTAGATTGAGATGTTGTTTCTTTGCTGTAGGATCAAATTTCTCCTCTAGGACAAATAGAGTCATCTTGTCTTGGGGCAGGAATGGTGACTTCTCTCAGACTTCTGCCTGAGACTGAATACATTCACACTTCAGATTTTCTTTTAAGTGGTAGGTTTATTAGGGGGAAAGGATATTCTGCGCTAATCCCATACAGGCTTTGTGGACCCCACCCCCACTTCAGACCAAAGTCTTCAAGACATTGGGAAAAACAAATCCCGTAACCACCAAAGGGAAGGTGGCTGGGGCCTGAGGGTGGAGTTAAGCAGCCAGGTTGGGTATAAAAACCAAATATGTGGGCCTTGGGGTCTCTCGCTCTCACCTCGCCTCCTGGCTTCATGGCTCCTGGTTCATGGCCAGCTCGCAGAGTGCCCTTTGGGATTCCAGATCGGCGGATCGGGTAGGACGCATTTAAAATTTTGTCTCCCATTTTTCTCTCTGAGCTGTACATTTCCTCATTTCCCCTCCCTTGTAAATAAACCTTTTATTAACCTTTTGCGTGTGCCTGCAGTAGAGTATTGATAAGTGCTTTTAAGCGCGTGGGTGAGGACCCTCAGTCAGGCAACCCGTTTTGTATCGGGGCTGCCCTGTAACAGTTTGGCGCCCAGCGTGGTTTCCAAGTTACACCCGCGGTTGACCAGCTCAAAATAACTTTCCTTGCATTGGTCACCATAAGCACACTAGTTCTTAATACATTCACACTTCAGATTTTCTTCTAAGTCATAAGTTCTCATTGATATTTTAAGTTTCTGTGACTCTTATGTTTGGAGATCATCTGATTACTTCCTCCATGTATTCAGATTTTGAGAAAGTCCATTGCTTGACTCTGGCTTGATTCCCCTCTCACAGGAGAAGCTCCAGAGTGCCCTTGAGCAGATGAGGGAAAAGCTGCAGAAAGCTGGACATTTGGAAGCTCAAGTCACAGAAAGGAGAATATCCTGGAAGGTAGGAGGAGGTTCTTTCTGAGGAATTTAGACAGAAATCTGGTAGAATTTGGGTGATAACATGAGGACTTCCCACCTTTTTATACTTGGATCATTAACAATCCCACAGTCATTTGATTATCCTTCTCTTCATCATTTCCCTGATGGAGAAGGGGATTGAAAAGTGAACCTGGCACAGATGAATGGGTTTTTGGAGGGAAGGTTCATATGGAGGGACACTGGCCAGGATGGCAGTGCAGTCTCTGTTCCATTCCCATCATGTGGTTTGAGTCTTTGACTCTTCTGGGGGAAGCCATTTGGCCATGGCTCCTGGTTCTGGGCCAGTGTTCCACTTCAGCAGAGGGTGAGTGGTGTGGTCAGGAGTAGTCCAGCTGTGTGAACGTGGAGACAACCCAGTTGCTCTGTTTTGGCTCAGGGTTGGACTCAGTGCTGCAGACTTGAGGGAATTATTTTGGAATATAACAGAGGGGAAGTAGTAGGTGAAGAGCATCTTTAAGAATTGTTCTCTTGCTCTGTCTCACTTTTCTGTGTGAACTTTCCATTTACAGTGGTGCTGGTTCTCTTTCCTAGTCTCTGCCTGATAGTTTAGTTCTACTTCTCTCTCTTTTCTCCATCCTAAGAGTCAAATACAAAGTGAGAGACAAAGTGTCCAGGCAGAGTTTGCAGAACTGAGAGGTCTTCTGGACTCAGCGGAGCAGAAGGAGCTGCAAAAACTGAATAAGGAGGAAGAAGTCATTCTCCATAAACTGGCAGAGGATGAGAGTGAGCTCGTTCAGCAGAGCCAGTTGATAGAAGATCTCATCTCAGATCTGGAGCATCGATTGGAAGCATCAGACATAGACATGCTGCAGGTAATGTTACAGGGCAGGGAGAGGAGCTGCCCAGATCCCACAAACCTGCCTGCTGTAAATAGGTTCTGCCATCCCCTGCATCAACACAAAACATATGAGACTTTAATGGGAAGGAATTTAATACAATTAGGAAACAATACAGAAAAGACAAAGAATATAGTTTACAAATCAAGCACCCGCAGTTGCCCATCCCCTGGTGGGTAGAAGTCCCCCCAATCTGGATTGGCCCAGAGCAAGGCCCCAAAGCCTGGCACAAGTCCAAAGCACCTTTCAGTGGGGACCCACAGAAAAGGATCAAACCACCAGACAAGTCTGGAAGGAAAAGAACAAAACCAAAATCAAGGTAAAAGCTCCATTGTCACCTCCCCACGGGTTTCACCCTCATCTGTGTCACCCAGTCCACGACCAAAAGGCAAGTGCAGTTTCTTCACGAGTCTCTCTGCTCCATGTGCCTCCTCCAGGTCTCCTTCTGGCTCTATCATGCTTCCTTCCTTCTCTTCTCTTTAGCTCCACCCTCCTTTGGGTGTGGCAGGGAACTTGGAACCTCCCTCTTTCCTGGGGACCACCCTGTTACAGTAAGATCTCAAAAGAAGCCCCAGCATCTGAGACATGAGAACCATGCAGGCAGATTTCCCTCCCCTTCAGTATTGCTGTGCTCTTTTTGGTGTGACACTAAGGTCTTCTGCTCTGCAGTGTGCTTCCTGCATTTATAGGAATAATTGAATGCGTAAATAACAAGGGGAAAACCTCATTTTTATTAATGTGTCAAGTACAATGCAATTGTGTGAGCTTGGAATGAAGATGCATTTTATTCAGGTGTATTTGATATCCCTGTTATTGTGTGCTAGTGTTACCCATTCATTAGTTAAATCGAGTGAAGCTTAGTCCAGATGAACAAATGCACTTCAGAGTCTTAACAAGCATTTTTTCCCCCTCATGGAATGAGTAGAGATTTTCCCCCTTGTTTATCTATTTTCTGAGAAGAATTATTGAAGGCCTGGTATTTATTTTTAATTACTCAGTGGAATTCACAAATGATGTCTTATTCTGGCCTTTTTGTGTGAAGGGTACATATATGTGTGTATATAATTATATATGTATGGAACTAAATATATATAATTTACTTGTTTAATTTTTTAAAATAAGTTTTTGTGTCGTTTTTGGCAATGTGTGTCTTCATAGGAGTTTGTCTAAGTTGTGTGCTTTGTAGATGCAAAGATACTCATAATGATTCTTTCTCATCCCTTCAATTCCTACAATATTCACCGTAATGTCCCTTTGATACCAAGCAAAACCAAGGTGCTTCACGGGGACTCCAAACTGAAAAGAGAAATAACCCATGTTGTCTATGCTATTTGGCTTTTTTTTTTTTTTTTAGATTTATTTATTTATTTATACAAGCACTGGGTCCAGTCAGAAGCACGGGAGGGTGAGAGAATTCGCCTGTTTTCTTACTTTCTCTCTTTCTCTCTCTCTTTCATTGTCTCTCTCTCTCTCTCTCTCTCTCTTTCTTGGATTTATTTATTTATATAAGCACCGGGTACAGTCAGAAGCGCAGGAGGGTGAGAGAATTCACCAGAGCCAGAGCAGGGAGCAGAACAGGCAGAAGGACCGAAGGACACTGCTGAGGGGAGCAGCGGGTGGCAGGAGAGGTCTGTGTGCCATGTGGGACCCTCCTCCAGTGGCCTGGGGTGGGGGGTGGCCTGGGAGAGGCCGGGGATCGAACCGCTGCAGAGGCTGCGGGCAGCTTCGCAACCCAGCGCTCAACTGCTGCGCCAACTGGAGGCCCCCTCTTTTATTTTTAATTGTAGTGATTTGCTTTTTCCCTTTTTTCTTAGTTTATGTCTCGTCGATTTTATTGATATTTTTATAGAACAAACTTTTAGATTTTCATTAATTTCTTTTATGTTAATTATTTGTTTCTGTTCTCTCATATTTTAGTGGGTGTGTGTTGTACGTGGTTAGCTTACTGTTCCTTTTCTAGTTTCTTAAAATGGAAATTTAGAAAACATCTTTTCTGGTTTAGTGTTTAATAATATAAATGTATTGCTTTAACTGTATTCCATATATTATTATTGTTTTGATTTGATTTTCATTCAATCCAACTTATTTTCAACTGTTTTTGCAATTTTTTTCCTATTTACCTTGGAATGTGTGTGTGTGTGTCTTTTTTTTTTTTTTTAATACAGGCATGTTTTATTTATTTATTTGTTTGTTTGTTCGTTTTGTTTATACATGCACTGGGTACAGTCAGAAGCGCGGGAGGGTGAGAGAATTCACCAGAGCCAGAGCGGGGAGCAGAGCAGGCAGAAGGACCGAAGTACACTGCTGAGGGGAGCAGCGGGCGGCAGGAGAGGTCTGCACGCCATGTGGGACCCTCCTCTGGTGGCCGGGGAGCAGCCGGGGATCAACCGGCGCCGCAGAGGCCGTGGGCAGCTTCGCAACCCAACGCTCAACCGCTGCGCCACCGGGGAGTCCCTTTTTTTTTTTTTCTTAAATTGCATTGATTTAACAACTTGGTGAAGTTACAGATGAGACATTCTAAGTTACTGGTTTCTGTTACTTTTCTAATGAATATATTAATATGCAGTTTAGAGAAAAAACTGAGTAAAAATAGTCAATCAGCTTCACATATGTGTGTGTAAAATTCAAGGGACTGGATGAAGTCACTTATAGAGAGAGTTTAATGTGAGGAGAGAGAGACAGGAAAAGCACCTACATTAATGGTGTCTGTGTGCACCTCATAAAAGGTTATGCAAACTTCTTGAAGAGTATTATAATTTTTTAAATTCCCCTAAGCCTGGCATAATGCTTGACAATAGTAGCACATACATTCCATTTCGGCTGAATACATGAAAGACTATTAATTATTAAGTCATTTCAGAGGGAGTCTGGCATTTGGGGAATAAAATTATGGGTTTCTAGTTTTCCTTACAAGTATGACTCATCTCCAGATACATACTTGACTTCCACAAGAGTCAAAACTGTTTCTACCTCTTGGGGAAACCTGACAGCATCACATGAGTTCTGGAATGTCTGGCCTAGGTCTTATCTTTGCATTTGTCTCTGACAATGGGACCAACTCTACCCCCCTAATCAGGGGGCAAAGGAGATATGATGAGGCCTTATAAGTGGAGAGAACCTATTACTTCTTGACACATGATTTTTTAAAAATAATTAATTTTATTTTTCTTTTCGCCTAGGATGTGACTGACATCATACAAAGGTATGTGTGGGAGGCCAGAGATGGTCTTTCTGTGCTGTGGAGAGATGCCTAATGATTTTAGAGTAACCTCGTGTTCACTAACAACGAAGTATCATTGTGGGCAGAGAAATATGGGTATACATTTGTCTTAAATTCCTGTTTATAAAAAATGAGTTGAAAATGGATCAGATACTACGGAAAGGAATGAAGATGGTAGGAAGCTGACAAGTTTTTGGTCAGTAGTAGCTTTAAAGATAAAGTATTTGACAAATGGCCAATAGGCATATGAAAAATGTTCAACATCGCTAGTTACCAGGGAAATCCAAATCAAAACCGCAATGAGATACCACCTCACTCTAGTGTGAATGGCCTGCACCAAAAAAAAAAAAAAAAAAAAAAAAAAAGGGAAACAACAAATGCAAGACAGGATGTGGAAATAAAGGATCACTCTTACACTGCTGGGGGGATTGTAAACTGGTCCAGCCACTATGGAAACCTTAATGGAGCTTCCTGATAACACTAAAACCTTATTTCCATCTGATCCAGTGATCCCACTCCTAGGAATCTACCCAAAGAACACAAAAACACTAATTTGAAAGGAAAACTGACTCCTATGTTTATTGCAGAACTATTTACAGCAGCCAAGATTGGAAAAAACCCAAATACCCCAAAATAGATGAATGGATCTATTCATGGTGGGAGATCCATGGGAAACTACTATAACCATGGATATAAAAAAAATTAATAAGTAAAAAAAATCAAGGCCTTGAGTTATCAGACCTCTGTAACCTCATAAATTTTTTTTAAGGATAATTTTTTAAGCTTCTTTCTTTTTTTTTTTTTTTACAGATTTATCTATTTATTTATACAAGCACTTTGTACAGTCAGAAGCACGGGAGGGTGAGAGAATTCACCAGAGCAGAGCGGGGAGCAGAACAGGCAGAGTGACGAAGCACACTGCTGAGGGGAGCAGTGGGCAGCAGTAGAGGTCTGCGTGCCATGTGGGACCCCTACCCGGTGGCAGGGGATCAAAGTGGTGCTGCAGAGGCTGCGGGCAGCCCCGCAACCCAGCGCTCAACCGCCGCGCCACTGGAGACGCCCTGTAACCTCATAAATTTTATACACTCTGTGTGCTTATATCTAGGGTTCTTGCACATCATAGGTGCTTGACTTTTATAGGGGGAAGCCCAGATCTTCTTTTTCTGCCATGCACCCAGAATTAGCAACAATACCTTTATATCTATAGTTCATCTCCTATATTGTGGGATATTTGGGCCCAGCTGTAAGAAAGTGATTCATCTCCTCACACACTCTGGCCCCAAGTATCAAGAGGCAGCATCTTACTTTAAATTTATGCCTGCCTGGCAGCATCGACCTCTTTCTGAACACATAAAATCCAGACCACTGTTTGGCTGGAGATCATCATGTATTCTTTTCCAAATGTTTGCAATTATTCTCAGAGAGCCTGAGTCTTAAATGTTATTCTGAGGGCCTCCCTAGTGGGGAGTAGAGTTTGAAATCTTGGTTGTCTCCAGGGAGTGTTCCAAACTTGATGTAGCTCATACACCCAGGAGCCAGGTTCTGGAGCCTTCCTTCTGTTTTTCTCTCTGGATCCCAAATGCATGTGGTGACTTTTCCACACATTCCTTTTTTTTTTTTTTTTTTTTTTTTTTTTAAAAGATTTTATTTATTTTTATTCATACAAACACTGGGTACAGTCAGAAGCTGAGAGATTTCACCAGAGCCAGAGCGGATGACCAGGCAGAAGGACCGAAGTACACTGCTGAGGGGAGCA